CTGACCGAATAGAATAACAATGTCCTTTATGATATCTTAACTAACATTAATGTTCTCTTTTTTTAGTTATATAGTTTATATTCTAATATAGAGTGTAACATTGTCCAGTCATCTTTTATCTGGTTCTAGCATATTTACAGTTGTTTATTAGTGTTTAACAATGTGCTCTGTGCATGTTAAACTAAAAAAAAAGAAATGAATAATATTTAATTGTATTAGTTGTAGTGGTTAATGTTAATAACTAAGTCATGGGATGAAAAAACAATCAATAGTACAGTAACAAACTGGATCATTTGTACTTTAGAAGAATTATAGAAAGTGGAAGATGAACTGGAAAGATTTATTTCTAAACTGAAGATACTGTACATTGTTGTTTATAAGACAACATAAGAGTATATTAAACCCTGGTGTCATCACCCATAGCAAATGCACAGGATATGACTTCAGTGTCCTACATTTTTGATCTTTTTCTATACCTTTTTCCATCACCTGAGAAGGTTTTTCTGGATGTTCCTGACCTCTGAAACTATGAGACTGTTGGTGTTAATTTATAAAAAGGCAGTATGTGTCCATCAATAACTATGTCAACGTGCCCTTGAGAAAGACACTAACCCTCTGCCTACATGTGTCATTGTAAAAAGTATATATAAAATAATGCCTGAGATGTAAAAGTATGAGAACTAAATGGAATTACTGTATGTCCACCTCATAATCTAATGGGATAAACATGCATAACTGCTAGTTTGGAAGCCCCAGGGCATTGAACCATAACCAATAATTAAGGATGTCCTCCTCACCGCCCAACCGGCCCTCCATGGATCACATTTAGCCTTGTTTTATGGTAATCACAAGCACTCCACTGTAGCGGACAAACCTCCATGGGATTTCCCCCAAATCCCTCAGGGCAAATGGAGAAGGCTTTATCTACAGCACTCATCTGAATACCAATGAGCCTTTATCACATCCTACACAGCACACACACCGCGGCTCTGCTATCTAATACAAAATGAATTCATATCTCACTTTTGAGGATAAAGGCTGACAGACCAGAATCAAAGTAATCATAAGCCTTAAATGGAGAGTTTTGTTGAAGGTAGTCCAAGCCTTTAATTTTAAGCGTTGACGTACTGTCAGAGCGAGTCACAGAAACAGATCGGATTCATCAGCTTCAAGCAGACAAAACCCTTTATCAGCCGGCCCGACTGAAGAGCTGTTTGACTAACTGCTGGGAAGATTGGATTATCACGCCTGGACAGAGTGCTATCTGCCCCGACTGACTTCAGTGGACCCGCTGCACTTCTGTGACTATTACCGCTACCAACAGTACCACTACAGTACTATGATTATCACTACCTGTTTCATCACTACACAACTAATAGCAACACTGCTGCTGCTACACTACAACAACTACAACAACTACTACTACTTCCTTAAGTCCTCTTGCTACCACTACGCCTATCCCTAAACTGCTATTACCATTGCAACTACCATTAATAACAAAATATCACTTTAACTGTTACTACACATCCAACTGCAACTTCTGTTACCACTACGTCTGCTGCTACAACTACCACCAAGTACTAACTAGTATCACTTTTTACTCTTACAAGTGCAAATACTACTATTAATAGGCTACTAATACTACTACCTGTGGAATTATTTACCTCACAATTATTACATTTCTACTACAACTGCTGTTACTATTAATACTACAAAGACCACTACTCCTACCACTAGCTGTTACTACTACAATGATCTCTACTGTTTTAGAAAAGCTGCTGTGAAATCAGGCATTTTAGGCCGCAACGTTCCCCCCCAAAAGTCATGTGGTAACGTGGCTCATCCTCCATTTCACCCTAAAAGGAAACAAATGCTTTTCCTTCCTGTTCAGTGATGTTGTCGGTGCGCACTCATCTTTCAAGAGCGTTGCCCTTTTCGCCCTTGTCGCCCTACTCTTTCTTCATTTAACAGTGTTTTCACAAGTAACTTCACAAAGACAGATCCTTCTGAAATTCATCCTCATGTGGAGGCGCATACATATACTGGGCGTTTAAACAGAGTGTCATCTTTACAGTAGCACAAACAGACAAATTCCTTTGGTTTTGCTACTGGGTGTGTTCGTTTGCCATTCTGGGGAGAGTGTCTGTCCCATGGGGGGAAATAGACAGATACGGCACATCCTGTGGATCGCTGGAACCATCCTGGTTGAGAAGGACTACTGCATGGGCGGAGTGGTAGAGAGGCGGAGCGGGGACGGCACTACAGATGTGAGGCCTGAGATAAGGGGGAAAGCTTTCGTAACAGGATAATGGCTTCCTGTTTGAATGCTCCGCAAATTGTTTGTCAGGTTAGAGCAGCTTTGAACAGAGACGTGTTTATCTGAGAATCAGGCGGCGGGAGAATGCGAAAACAAGAACAACAAAGAAGCCTTTTGCTGTTTACTGGGATAATGATTTAGCTACAGTGACTGTGACAGCAGCAAAGGATCTAACAGGAAGGAGAAATGTTAAACAGGAAGTTGTCTGGAATCTGGGGAACACAACTCCATTAAAGTCACAGACACTGCCAATGTCTTCCACTTACAGAGAGTTTCAACATTTTCACTGTTGTTGGCGGCTTTAAAAAGACCACGAATTGTTGCAACAACACACTTTAATCATATGAGACAAGATGAAGTCAGACTGGGAAGATTACTCAAGCCTTGTGTAATCATTTACGATTCAAACCAACTGGTCTTGGTCAAGTTATAATTCTTTTTTTTTAAGGAGCTGACTTCAAAACACAATTTGCAAGCAGTTGCCTTACTTGTCAGGCTTTGCTTTGAAGACCGAGCTGCCAGACACAACCTAATTTTCAACAAACAAGTCAGTTCTCTCCATTGTTTCAGTTGTATTATGTCATCACAACATGCTCGCGTAGGTACATAGGAAGCTCCGACAGAAAAGGTACAGGATAGAAGAACACAAACACAGCAGAGAGGGTTGACCAGAGGGAAACAGGGACACTCTTCTTGCTCTTATGTCTGTCATGATGCGGAAACATCAATCTTAGTTCTTTTCTATCTGCAGTATCTCTTCTCTTGCCTGCTGCCGAAGGATGTTAAGGCACATCTGTCGGCTGGTCTGGAGAGAGAAATGAGAAATGTTGTCTCTACTGCACAGAGACAGAGATTTCAGGTGGGCCTTTCAGCTCTGCACACTGTAAAAAGGGAACCCTGATGGAAGTGTAATATGCCCGAGGTAACTCAGACCCCAGCTGGATCCAACCAACTGAACGCAAAGCAAAAAGGAACACTATATTTTCAAAGACTGGCTCTATCCGAACAAAACCAAAAAAGAGGCTTTAAAATCCAGTCTCAATATAAACTCTATAGAAAGCTGGTCCGCAGCTTCGACTCAGACTTCTCTTCCATAGATTAAACTCCGCCAATGTGACCTCGCTCCACCTCTGCTACAGCTTAAAGCACTTCGCTCACAGCAGTCCAGTCCAAGTTTATCACCTCTGAGGGATTGAGGCAGATTTGTCTGCAGACAGCCTTTGGCACCGCTGCCCTGAGGTAGAGCTTGGGGGTGCATACCAGATATCATCAGCCTGTTTAGCTAACCGTCCAGGAGCCGGGTGGGTCCCAATCTGACCCCCATGTTCCATATTCATGTGACATTCTGCGCTGGTACCCTGCCAGAGCTTCGTACAGCCTTGATCCTGTCGTCTGAATTTAAAGCAGCACAGACTCGAACTATAACAAGAACTAAGGGGATACAGCGCTGTATGTATAGTATCTGATGTCTACATAAGATGTTTCTATTGTGGATCCCCCGTCAGGGTCTTCAGTAATAAATTATTGTTTTTGTATTCACGCACAACGGGCAAACAAAAGAATGACTAATGACTCATAGCATCATTAATGGATTACTTTGACAGGAAATACGTTTATTTGCTTTCTTGCTAGGAATTAGATGAGAAGATGGACATAAATATGAAGCGGCTGTTAGTAGATGGTTATCTTAGGTTAATATGACCGTAAGCAGTGAGTAATAGTTTGCTTGGCTCTGTCAAAGGAAATAAATCTGCCTTCCAGCACCTCTAAAGCTCACTAATTAATATATTCAATGTTTCAATGATTCAAGGTTATTTTATTGAAATTTACAATGCAAGGTTGTAAACTGTTATTAGAGCTTGTTTGTTTAATCTGGGATTATTTCCTGTATTTCATATACTATGTTTATTAATGAGCCACAGAGGTGTTGATAGAAAGGGTTTTCCCCCTGGCTAGTTGGTTAATTTCCCCGTTTCCAGTCTTTATGCTAAGCTATGTTAACTATGTCCTGAGAGTGACTTATATTTACTTATATTTTACAGAAAGATATGAGAGTGGTATCGATCCTCTCCCCCTCGATGAAA